ACCTTCAGAATATATCCCTAGGGGAGAGCTTTTTGCCTGCTTTGAGCTGCTCCCACCCCGGTCCAACCACCAGGGATGGCCACAGGATTATTACGATAGCATCAGCTTCCTCCTGTGTGTCTTCAGGCCCTTCTCAGTATAGCGGCCCAGGTGATCCTTTAAAAACATTTTTTAACATTTTTAAATTTATTTTTGAGAGACAGAAACAGAGCACAAGTGGAGGAGGGGCAAAGACAGAGAGAGACACACACAGAATCCAAAGCAGGCTCCAGGGTCTGAGTTGTCAGCACAGAGCCCAATGCGGGGCTCAAACCCATCAACTGTGAGATCATGACCTGGGCTGAAGTCGGACACCCAGCCGACCAGTGGGAAGCTAGGCAGGCAAGGATATAGACTGACTGTCTGTAGTCAGTAATTGTTGGGATAATTTTGAGTTTTTGTATCTTTTTGGATATTACATCTTCAGGTAATCAATTAAATTGAAAAACTAAAAGGAAAAAGTCACCAGATCATCACTAATGAGCTGGCAGAGCAATCAGTGCCCCTCTATGGCTGCTTCTGTGTTAACATCAAATCAGATAACTGGCTAAGTACATATTTGCAAGGTCAGAAACAGATACCAAATTTGCACTTACTAAGCTACTTGTTTGCATTTTTTATTAGACCAGGCATGTACTGGCAGTGATATATGTCTTTAAAAAGCTAATTAGAAAACAACACCACAATATTTGTCATCAAGTTAAGTGTCAAAGCAGAAATAGAAGAAACTGACACATTCCTTCAGAGGAAAAAAAAAATTGCCAGGGATTATCTTCTATCACTGCCGAAAAAACATCGGAATAGTTTCTCTTTTAGAAGGATAATTAGGATGATTCCTTGTTTCTTCTTGCAAAGGTCCTGCTTCCCCCAAGCCCAACATTACGAGCATTTCTCTCTGGAACACTGATCCCAGCGGGACATGTGAATGAGGGGCCGGACAACAGCCTTACTCACAGCACATTTGCTGCGGAAACTATGTTTGGCAAGTATCAAGTGTCTGAATTTCTTTTCCTGGGCATCCTGGAGCTGCCGGGATTTATTTATAACAGGGGAGATTCTAAAATTGGCCACTTATCAGAACAGAAAAGTAACTTCCATAATACTGCTGCAAACTCATTTCCTTCTTTCTGTTAACACAAATAGCAGAGCAGGCCACCAAGGTTCTTGGTAAGCAATTATTAAGAAACAGACTGGGTCCTGGACCAGGAGGGATTGGTAGGTAGGCATGTGAAACATTCTCTAATTGGATCAATGGGATTTAGCTCCTGACCTACCTGAGGCCCCGACTTCCTAAACAGTTTTGGGTTTTTGTTTTTGTTTGTTAAAAAGACGAAAAGGGCCAGAAATATAGGACTTAGATATACCTTGAAAAAAATAATCCGAAATGCTGGGATTTACTAATTGAAATAGAAAAATGCCCCACATTCTAAGCCCAGTGTTTACTTCATGGTTCTAATTCAGGCCTCACGAACAAAAAATAAAGCCTAAATGAGCACAGAGGGTAGAAAATAGGAAACACTGAACGCCATGGGCTAAAAACTGCGTCTACAGTGATTACGGGAGTGAAGCAAAGTTCTCTTGCATGAAATTTCCTTTTTAAATAGAGCCATCGATTTCTCATATACCTTAAGGGACAGCAAAGTATAAAACCATCTGCAGGGCGCTTGGGTGGCTCAGTCAGTTGAGCACCTGCCTTTAAATGAGCACCTGCCTTTAAATTTTGGCTCAAGTCATGATCCTAGGGTCATGGCCTGGCCCTGCACCGGGCTCTGTGCTGAGTGTGGAGACTACCTGAAATTCTCCCCCTTTCTCTCCGCCCCTCTCCCTTCCGTGCGCTCCCTCTCTCCAAAATCGAAAGTATGAGGGGCACTTGGGTGGCTCAGTCAGTTAAGCCTTAACTCTTGATTTAGGCTCAGGTCATGATCTCCCAGTTTGTGAGTTCAAGCCCTGCCTTGGGCTCTGTGCTGACAGCGTAGAGCTTGCTTGGGTTTCTCTCTCTCTCTCTCTCTCTCTCTCTCTCTCTGCCCCTGCCCTGCTCATGCTCTCTCTCAAAAATAAATAAAATAAACATTAAAAATATATAAATAAAAAAGTATGCATATAAAAATCTATTTGCCCACAATTTACCCTAAGCTATGCTTATTCAGAACTGCATGCACTTTCATGCAATAACCAATCATCCAGTTGCTTAAGAGTCACTCATAGTGGCAGTTTGTGTCTTCCAGTTGTCTAGAAATCGGTGGTGGTGATGGTGGACGTGTGTGCTTCTCAGGGAGGTCTTTAAAAAAAAAATGCGAACATTAGTGTATAAATCCCTTTAACAATCTTGTGTTCTGGTCAGCCACTCTAGGTGAGAGGAGAGGACTGTAGAGTTAAAGTGCCTGGGAGGTACTGCCACCTAGTGTTGGGCTGCTTTCAGTTTAAAGCTGGGCCCGCCAGCGCGGAGCCTGGTTTGCCTCCTCCCGCGCCGGCGCCAGTGCCCCATTCCTGCCTCCATTTCAGGAAGCCAGCAGTCCTTGTCGGTGCAAGGCTTTTGCACCTTTCCCTTTTCCCCACTGCCACTAACAATCTAGCATTCACACTCATCCTGTGGGAGGGGACCTTTAAGGGCTTGAGTCCGCATTACTATTCTGCTCCTCGCATGCAATCTTTGGACACGTTACGTAACCTCTCTGGGCTTCCGTTTCCTCTTTAGATCGAAAAGAACTATCTAGGGGCACCTGGGAGGTGCAGTCAGGGAACCCTCGGACTCTCCTCAGCTCAGGTCATGACCTCACAGTTCGTGAGTTCAAGCCCCGCACTGAGCCCTGCACTGATGGTGCGGAGCCTGGCTTGGACCCTGGCTCTCCTTCTGTCTGCCCCTCCCCTGCTTGGGGGTCCATGTTCTTTCTCTCTCAAAATAAATAAACTTAAAAAATATATATGGTTGTGTTCCAATAGACCTTTACTTAGGAACACTGAGCTTTGCATTTTATATAATTTTCATTTGCTGTAACTGATTTTTCAAACATTGAAAGATGTAAATCACGACAGGTAGCACCAGACGTGGCCCGCAGGATAGTCGGCCCCCACACAGGGTGTCCCACGGCATGGTTCAGGTTGGGCCCCGGGCCTATTTCTGCCTAAAGTATAAAAAATTTTATGTGCGTACACATGCACACGCAGACACTCACGGGCTTAAAGGACCGTAGCGTCTGCATCAGTCACTGTATGGGAAGACGGCTGCCCTGGGTCCCCTGACCTGGGTCAGTCCTTGACCGAGAGGCAGCCTTTGCAGTAGACGGCAGGACCTGGAGTTCCTATCAGTACAGCCTCTCGAATTCCCATCTCCGGCCCCTCATCAGCCAGGTACCGGCTCTAGGACGCAGTGACGGGCGGCCTCGGGCGTGGCCACACCACACCACACCACAGCCACTATCCACAACACACGGAAAGCCCCGGTCCCGCTGCTTGCTCACGTGCCACCGCTTTATGGCAGCTGTGTGGTCTGACCCTCACCGAAACTAGCACATGGGTTCTTTCTCCTTTAGCTTTTTACTCACTATATGTAATAGTAACATATACTTACGCTTCCACATTATTTAAATGTTTATTTTCTCACTTCAAAAAAATGCATGTTTACAGTCATGGTCATACTGGTGGTAGTTTTGAATCATACCCTCTTCTTTGCTTCACATCACTGCAAAATTCCCTATTTCACTGCCTGAAAACTTCCATTCTAGTCTGTTTTTCTCACTACAAAATTCGAAAATCAAAACCACATCAGCTTGATTAATTTCCTTGAAGACCCTAATCTAGTCCAAAGGAAAGTATTTATAACCACAGAATTTTTAGTTCTGACACAAAACACCCATGGCCATGACAGAAGATGGAATCGCCCCCTCCCAGCTCCAGGGCACATTTAGGAAATAATTTACACACTAAGTGATGATGAATGGTCCCATGCCTAAATGGGGTGGATGGGCGGCAGACTGGGAAGAGGGGAATACTGAACTCCTGCTTTGTACACATGGGGGTTTGAGTGCATGTGTCCTTCAGGGAGACCTGTGAGCCTGCAAGGACAGGCTTCCCCGGAGCCTTCCAGAAGGGGACATCAGACATCCAGATCCACAAAGTTGAGAAATGATTCAAAAAGGGAAGTTGTTACCTACGTTGTTCAACAAATACATACTGAACATATTCTAGGTCAGGTATCATTCTAGAGGTAACGATCTGTTCTTTGTATGCACTTGAAACAAATTCTCATTTCCATTTTATATCAGAACACTGAGCCCAGTATCTCAGTACTCAAGATTTAACAAATATTGGATGAAAAAAATATTTGGTGGCGATGGGCATTTTTAATAAATCTGGATTAGCTAAACAAAAGCAAATTTCAAGAGTGTCAGAAACTTTAAAATAGCTGAGAAGGTGAAAATCTAGTTCACTTCAAGACACACAAGTCCTTACGGTGGAATATGACTCAGCCATAAGAAAAAAATCTTGCCATTTGCAACAACATGGGTGGAGTGAGGGTCTAATGTTAAGCAAAATGTCAGCCAGAGCAAGACAACCATGCTTCCACTCACATGTGGAATTTAAGAAACAAAACAAATGAGCAAAGAGAAAAAATGAAAAGAAGGCAAACCAAGAAATAGACTCTCAGGCTCTAGTTTCAGAGCTGTCAGCACAGAGTCCGACATGGGGCTCAAATTCACAAGCCGTGAGATCAGGACCTGAGCCGAAGTTGGAGGCTGAGCCGACTGAGCCCCCAGGCACCTGGAAACGGACACTTAACTATAAGAACTGATGGTCACCAGATGGGAGGAGAGTGGGGGATGGGTGAAATTGGTGACGGGCACTAAGTGATGTGTGAAGTGGCGAGTCACTGTGCTGCACACCTGAAGCTAACTCAGCACTGTACATGAACCACACTGGGATTTAAATAAACACTTAAAAAAAAAAAGACACCCAAACCCCACTTGCACACGAACTGCAGAAACAGTTTATCTGCTGGTCACGGGCTCCTGAAACACAACTCTACACCAATGACACAAACACAAAATGACAGTCACTAAAGCTTGCTGGCCCGCCAAAGCCATAACTTGGTAAGAGTGATCACGTCCGAGTAACCAAGCGCTCCCAGGTAGCCGGCAGTCGGACAGAGCCGCATGGGTGGTCAAGCAAGAGTTTATTTTCTTTATCTGACAGTAACAACAAAGGCTGCAGGAAATGGGGACTGTTCTACCAGGAAGAGGAACTAGACAGCTACACAATGTGCGAGGGCAAGCAGGGACAGGGCACAAGCAGTGTGAGCCCCGCGCCGCGGCAGGCCAGAACCCGCGCCCGTGCACCTCAGCAGGGACCGACGGCTTTCCGGGCTCAAGAGAGTAGGCGGTCTCCTGCAAGAGCGCTGGCAGGGGGGCGCTCCATCGTACAGAGTCAAACGCCATTAACCCTCACGATAAATCACATTTTCCAGAAGAACCAGAATGCATTTAGGATCACTGATTGCCTTTTCTTCGTCTTTTTTTCCTGGAGCGCGTAGGTGTTTGAGTCCCTTGTGTTTCTTCTTTTGCACCAGGTACAAGCTGTTTGAAAACTACTTCATTATCTTTATCATCAACATTCATTTTAGCCACTTCAGATTTTCGCTTCTCCAAAAATGTTGGTGTGCAAACCGGTGTGGGGCCCTGGAGTCAATGCATCCAAGGTTGTGATACAGAAATGAATGAAGACGTTAGGAATGATGTTACCCTCCCCACCCCCATCCCACTGGCCCTGTATTTTTACAAGTTCCCCCGTTTACACCTTCCGATGATTCCAGCGCACATAACACAGCCTAGGCACTCATCAAACTTAGTACAGAAGCTCACAATTAACCGGAACAGCATATGCTCCATCACAGCGGATTAGGGAGGAAACACATCTCACATTTGTGAAGACAGGGGCTTTGTTTCTCCCTACTGACACAGTCACTTTGGGGAAAAGGTAAACCCTGCAGTAAACTCCCAGTAACTTTTGCTAAGCTCACCGTATCTGCTAAATCCCCAGGGAGAATTTACTAAAACAATCACAAGGTTAAATTTGAAATTTTATAAGTTGACAGCAGCATGGACTGCTTTCCTCTTTTATTTTTTTAAAGTAATCTCTACACCCAACATGGGGGCTAGAACTCACGACCCTGAGATTAAGAGTCACACGCTCCACAACTGAGCCAGCCAGGTGCCCCTGCTTTCCCTCTTCAAATCATTTCCAGAATACCCCACTTCCAGAATAGGGAGGACCATTTTACCTGGCTATCCACCGTCTGCTCAGGAGTGCTAGGAGTGCATGAAGCCTTTTTCTTCTTCTTCGATAAGACCTACAATAAATTTTAAGAGATTTCATCAACCTGCATATTTATCAGCAATAGTAGTCTGGTCTCACCTATCTTTCCCTTCTACACGGCACATAACAGGATAAATACAATTTTACCTGGCTATTTCTAGATTTCTGAAGATCAGCTGCTGAAGCATTTCTCTTTTTCTTTTTCTGTAAAACCTTAAACAAACATAAAGAAATGAACTGGCAATCTCACATATTTACACTTACATGCTTAACCTACCATTAGATCCTTATACACATAATCAGTAAATCCTCTCCAAATGACAAGGCATTTCAATTTAAAAAGGAAAACCCATGATCTTAAGGCAAAACTGGAAGAGGGACCCTCACTAGGGAATGGGCCCAGCTGTGGAGGTTGAAGTGGGGCCAAAACCTGAAGCTGGCCACAGAGACCTGAACCAGAAACGTGAACCAGAGGGGTGCCTAGGTGGCTCAGGTGGTTAAAAGTCTGACTCCTGATACTGGCTTGGGTTGTGATCTCACATTGGGGCTCTGCATTGACAGTGTGGAGCCTGCTTGGGTCGGTCTCTCTCTCTCTCTCTCTCTCTCTCTCAAAATAATTAAAAAATATACACACATAAAAGAAATGTGAACTGGACGAATGCAAAAAGGCAGGCCCTGTCTTAGCCAAGGAAGCAGGGCTGCTCTTGCACAAAGCAGCAACAGCTACGGGAGTAGCTCATGTGCCTGTTTCCCAGCTTCACAGTCCTCGCTTCCATATGGTTCCCATGAGTGCCAGGGCTCTGGAACGGGGATATGATTTTTTTAAAACACCTGCTGCAAAAGTGTATGTTTAGGACTCGAGCCAGAAGTGAACATCGGGAACTAGGCTGGGGGGTGCGGGTCGGGGGGTAACTTGACCTTCTCATTGCTGGACGAGGTTAAAAGGCCTAATCAACTTGGGAATGGATGCCATCTACCAACTATGTAGCTTTTTGGAAATAAGCTCAGAGAATTCATGGAAGACTCAAAACAACCTCCAAATTGAGTCAAGAAAGAAAAGATCTTCACCTATACTGGCCACACCTTAATGACCAGTGTTTTTGCTTTGTAGTAAAAGTCACACAGCTTTCCTTCCAGTGAAAAGGAGGCAGAAAGATTCCACCAGGTCTCCTCATTCAACAAGCAAGGAACTAACAACTGGATGAAAATCCATGCTAACTCACTTTCATGTGAGTAGTCTTGTGTATTTCACCCCCTGCTCATGGAATTCACAGAACTGATGCTTACTGGTTAATTCAGATCTACATGATAAGAGTATTTCCAATTCCAAAATTAGAATGGCAATAAAAAAGATGGTTGATTCATAGCCTCAGTACTTACGGACAGCGTACAATAAACCAAACTTCTCATTCTGAATGACATCCTCAAAAGTTTTCTAGAAGCATTATAGTTTTTGGTTAAAAAGTGCTTTAACTTCAGCAACTTAAAAACAGATCATAAGAACTTTGCAACTGAGCTAATCCCTTTCAAGAGTTTCCTCTTTTGTATAATGGAGATAATAGGACCTGCCCTAACAAACTTCTAGAAAGAATCTACAATGCAATGTTGCAAAGCCTAGACCCTGGGCTAGACATTTTATGTATAAAATCATAAACATGATGTGACTAGTGAGGAACCAAGCCCCCCTTCCCCCCGAAGGAAAAATACAAAAAACATTTTGTGAAAGAATATTTACCAGTGAAGGGAATTCATAATTAATTCCTTTTTTTGCTAATCTCTTCCTAAGTAATTTTTCTTTCTTTTTAAATCGCTCCTCCATCTGTAGTTTTTGAAGAAGTGTCCGATTCTGATTATACCGTTTCACTGCTGGAAAGGATGGCTTTTTAAATGGAATGTGCCACTCTCTAAAAAGTTCTTCGTGTACTTTTTCGGGTGGTATAAAATGACCTAGATTTAAAAGAAGAAAGAAAAATGTTTCCAACCAAATGGGAGGGAGAGGATTCAATGTCTTCAACGGCGTCACCCCCAACACCACCATCAAGGTGGGTCTCCCATTTACACAAACAAGAGGGAAAGAACACGGCGAGGGCCCAAAGGAAAGGCACACAGCCCACAATGATTATTAAAGGCCAAGAACCATTCCAGGACCGGGGACATGGAGTGAACGAGGTGAGTCGTGTAAGGCCATGTCTTGGCGGCATCCAGTCCCTGGGACTCCTAAAGCTAACAGGGTCCTGGACTGTGTGACATGCAGTAGCAAAGGGGGTCCCGCTCAGCCCCCTCCTCTGCGCACCTCGCCAGGACGAGACCCGCTTACCGCTTATCTCCATCTCTCTGCCTAAGGGCTCTGTGCAGGCTATGGGAGCCCCGGGGACCATATGCCAAGGCCAACCCAAACCCTTGGCATCAACATCAACAGGTGGGGAGTTGGTAGGTGCCCCAAGTCCCTTGCCTGCCAGTTGAAGTAACTCTGTCTCCCTGCACTCCCCAGCAGGGCAGAGGCCAGCTGCCCAAGCCAGCTGTGCTCACTAACACCCTGTCAATGACTTCCTTCTCCTCCGACTTCTCTGCTCCCTACAAGCACTGTCCTTGGCTCTTCTCCAAAACACACCACTTCCACTCAGAGACAACGCGGCTAATCCCCCATCCAAACCCCTATCAGGGCAGAACCTTCGTGTGACCTTCCAGAATCAGATGCAGCATAGCACTGACCCTACCCGTGTAGCCCCTGATGTGTTTCCGGTCACCTCTTTGGCCCACTTCCTCCCGGCAAAAGCCATGCTCTTCATGCGTGAAGGAGTCCACAACCTCGATGAGGTCACTGGGACTCTCTCACACAGTGACGCTACCTGCACAGCTGTCACACTGTGTGAACGGGAGCGTGTGGCACGTGCCCCTGGGATGGTCACACAGTCCAGCATCGGCGAAGAGGAGCCAAAACTCACTCTGCCTCCAGGGGCCTCGGGCACCACATCGGGGTGCTCCGGGAGCGCGAAGCCGGCAGCCCCTTTCTGCAAGCCGCCCCAGTCCCACCTCGTCTCCCCCCCGCCCCTTCTCTTGTGGAAGAGCTTCCGCCGACCACATTTACACCAACCTCACATGCAATTTCTTGCCTTTAACGTTACCCCATCTGGGACCCACTACTGGCTTCCCCCTGCACTGAGGACATATTCAACCCCCCAGACGTACAGCCTGACCTCCTCTCACCTCCCGGCTCTCTTCTTGTTCCTTCATAGGCAGGTGAGTGTCACCTGTCACCTCTTGCTTTGCAGCTGCCGTCCCATCAGGCCAGGAATGGCAGTTCCCTTCCCTGGCTCGCTCCGATTTAACCTTCAGGTTTCCGCCTAAATGACACCTCCTCAGGGAAGCCTTCCACAGCCCATGAGCGATCTGGGCGGCTGCTCTTCCAACGCACTCCTAAAGCGGCCTGTTCCACTTCCAGCTCAACACAAACATAGCCCTCACTCCAGCAGGTTTTAACATTCCAACTGGGGATTGGTCTAGAAAATGCACTCGCATCCTGCACTTGAGCACTTCCGTCGCATTCCCACAGAAGGCAAAGGAGGAGCACTTACACTTTAAGAGCCTTTCACCAAAGAGGTAGTTGTTCATGGTTTCAGCAACGATCTTGGCAACATCTTCAGATGCGAACTCCACAAACGCGTAGCCTTTACTGTTTCCAGTCTGCAAGGGAACGGCCGCCACAGTAGGGCCATCAAGTGCTCACACATCATGAAACTCTTAAAATCCCATTAATTTAAATAATGTACGTAAGCCCCATTACTGAATAACATGACAACACCTCTCGTTCTAACTTCGAAGCCCAGTGCGGGAACTGTTACGGGAAAAGAAAAGATCCAAAATAGTCTGAACTATTTTGAGCTTTCCTGGGGTTTGAGTTGTTCCTGATTTTGAGGCATTCCTGGGATTTTTAATATTTTTCTTTTAAGTTTGTTTATTTTGAGAGAGAGTGAGCAAACGGGACGAGCAGAGAGAGAGAATCCTAAGCAGGCTCCACACTCTCAGCACCAAGCCCAACTCAAGGCTTGAATCCATGAAATATTAGCTCATGACCTGAGCTGAAACCAAGAGTCAAGACGCTTAACTGAGCCACCCAGGCACCCCTGAGGTACACCTGGGATTTTGGTCACGTGATAAATACGCTACTACTGCAACTGGGATTTACCATATAAAGGAAATCTGGTAGAGCTGACAGTCCTTTACTCACTACTGGTTTCATTGGTAGCCACTTTATTCATATATTAACAATGCCCAGCAGAGGGGTGCCCGGCTGGCTCCGTCTATAGAGCACAGGGCTCCTGGTCGTGAGTCTCAGGGTCGTGAGGTCTAGCCCCATGCTGGGAGAGGAGCCTACTTAAAACAAAACAAAACAAAACACAAAACAGGGGCACCTGGGTGGCTCAGTCAGTTAAGCATCTGACTCTTGATTTCGGCTCAGGTCACGATCTCATGGTTTGTGGATTCATGCTCTGCACTGACAGCGCAGAGCCTGCTGGGGATTCTCTCTCACCTCTTAAAATAAATAAATATTTAGGGTTTTTTTTTAAAAGTTTTTTTATTTATTTATTTTGAAGGTAGGGGGAAAGGGCAGAGACAGAATCCCAAGCAGGGTCTGCACTGTCACTCATGAACTGTGAGATCATGACCTGAGCCGAAATCAAGAGTTGGTCACCCCAAATAAACATTTAAAAGCCCAAAACAAAACCCAAAACAATGCTCAGCAGATACTATGGTGCTTCACAAAGAAAGCAGGTAATGTAATTTTCATTTTGTAGATAAGAACTGGGAAGACACCCACTCCTCAGTGTCATCAAGCTGACCAATAAAATTCTGTGTTCATTTTCGGGGAACCTAGGTGGCTCTGCTGGCACTTGACTCGACTTGAGTTCAGGTCTTGATATCAAGGTTGTGAGTTCAAGCCCTGTGTTGGGCTCCACAAATAAATAAACACTGTGCTCCTTTTCACGTTTTCCAGCGACTGATTGTCTTTGCAACTGATGGTAAAGGGATGCCGCCAGCGCCTTCTGAAATGCACGTCGTGGGTTCCTGCCCTCCGCACAACATAAAGTGCATTTCTCACTTGTCTTAATAACAAGAGCCTGGGTTCTAGAGTCCAAATGCCCAAGTTTGGATCCTGGCTGTGATGGTTAGGCAAGTAATGTTAAGCCTCAGTGTCTCATTCTGTTAAATGGGGAAAGAATAACCACTCTCAAAGGGTTGCTACGAAGAAATAATCCATAAGTGCTCCACAGGGGGTCTGTCCGGCACTGGAACGTTCTTTAGAGTGGCAGAGCACGCCACCCACAATCGCGCTACTCTGGCATAAGTATTCTGAGCTGAAGGCAACTGGGAAGCAGTGAGTAACAAAAAGTCCCTCTGTTGTCCTCCATCTGCCTAAAAGCAGCACATAAATTTAAAGGGTCCCGGCCAGAGAACCTAGGAGTACAGGAGACAGGAAATCTTTGTTCCCTTACAGTTAGATTAGTAACAATAACTAGGGCCGTTTCCCAATTCTGCATTACACATATCTCTGGATCCGGATCAAAACCGGTGATGCAATTAAGGAAACAGGAAACCACCTGATGAGCAGGAGGCTCATGTGTAGCACCAGTGGGCGCCCCTAACTACAACTGTGGGGGTGCCCCCTGCTGCAACATGATCATAACAAAACCTTGGATGTGGGAAAATCCTTTATAATACCACCTCTTTTCTTTTTTTAAGTTTGTTTATTTATTTGAGGGGGGAGGGAGGGTTGGTGGGTGGAAGCACAGAGGGGCAGAGAGAGAATCCCAAGCTGACTTCACACCATCAGGCCAGAGCCCTATATGGGGCTCGATCCCACAAATTGAGAGATCATGACATGAGCCGAGATGAAGAACTGGACGCTTAACTAACTGAACCACCCAGGCGCCCCCTATAGTCCCTACTCTTAGGGGGGGAAGTTGAGGGAGTGAAAGACACACGCTGAAATCTAACTTACTGTACCACACTGTAAACAGACATCAACCTTCTGAAAGGTGATTCAAAAATACACATCAAGTATCTAAAACAAATAAATAAGAAAACAAAGCCAGGGACACCTGGCTGGCTCAGTCGGTAGAGTATGTGACTCTTTTTCTTTTTTTTGATGTTTGTTTATTTTTGAGAGAGACAGAGAGAGAGAGAGCGCGCATGCGCACGAGGCAGGATGAGAGACACAGAATCTGAAGAAGGCCCCAGGCTCTGAGCTAGCTGTCAGCACAGAGCCTGACGCGGGGCTCGAACCCATGAACCATGAGATCATGACCTGAGCTGAAGTCTGATGGTTAACCAACTGAGCCACCCAGGCGTCCCTATGATTTATTTCTTAAAGAACAGAGATCTGAAACAAGTATGAGATCAAGATGACATCTGATAAAAACAGATTCCAACAGTGAGAGGTCTATAGGTACAACCCAAAGTGGATGTGTGCAGGGAAGGAAAAACGGTGGCCACTCCTGTATTAGGAAAACACACCATATAAACTTTTTCTTTACTAGAAAGGAGGTACAGTATACCAGTAACATTTATAAAGGATTTACTGTGGGTATCAGCCATTGTTCTGAAACTTTACTTCCATTACCTTGTTTAATTTTTGCTTATATTCTCCTAGGAGGTGGATGCTATTTTATTCACATTTTACAGACAAGAACACTGAAGCATGGAGAAATTACCTAATTGGTCCAAGGTCATACAATTAGTGACCTGTACAGCCAGGGCTCAAACCTAGGTGGTCTGGCTTCTGTGTCCTTATACTTAACTACTCGTATACAAACCTTTGCTATACAAGATATTCATACCTGAGGCACCTGGGTGGCTCAGTCGTTTGAGTGTCCGACTTTGACTCAGGTCATAATCTCATGGTTTGTGAGTTCAAGCCCCACATCACATCCTGTCTTCCTCTCTGCCCCTCCCCCACAAGTGCTCTGACTCTCTCTTTCAAAAATAAACGTTAAAAAATAAGTAATAAAGATACTCATAGTTGCTCCTCAAACTGAGGTTCATGTGCACCTGGCTTAGTAGCTACAGAGTAAATATGATTCATTTATCAGGATTATCAATTCAAATTGAGGATTTGGAACAATTTTTAAAAAATAGTAAACATTTGCAGTAACACTGATTTTGCTCTTTTGACTGTTTCAGGTTTTAAATCTTACCCTCTCCTTTTTGAAATGAACTGTGATAAACAACGATTTGATTTATCGACATGCATTTGTAAAGTGTCAAAACTTACAAACATGTAACAACGAAAACAATCTAATCTTACCCGTTTACTCCGGGACAGTCTGAATCTCGTAACAGTGCCAAACTGGGAGAAATATGCTCGGATCTGGGTCTCGTAAAGTGCTGGAGGTAAGTGACCCACATAGATCACTCCAGGAGTAAGTTTTTCTTTCTCCTGTCGCTGAAGACATAAAGACCAGGTAAACAAAACTTTTAATTTAAAAAATCACATCGCAACACAACTTCAAAACTCTTAGCTCTGAGTCCAAGACAAAAGATCAAAAACTGGGGAGCCTGAGTGGCTCAGTCGGTTAAATGTCAGATCATGCTCTCAACAGTTGGTGGGTTCCAGTCCCCCATCTGACAGCACAGAGCCCAGAGCCTGCTTCTGATTCTGTGTCTCCTCTCTCTGCCCCTCCCCCACTCATACTGTTTCTGTCTCAATAATAAACAAACATAAAAAATAATAAAAAAGATAAAAAACCTGCCCTGCATTTCCAATGACACAGTAATAAATAAAGATTTCGGGGTTTAACATCTACCTCCCCTAGAGAACACCAGTCGGGTGGTAGACAGTTTTAGGCTCCTACACACCTAACTGATGGATAAGCAGTATTTGAACACATCCTTTTAAATCTCCTGGCCGAACTCCACCCCTTAATTTTGCCTGCTGATCACCGTTTACTCACATCCACTTAACTGAATACTCACATCCACCTAACTGAACAATTCCGAGACACTGATTCTCAAAATCCCGACCAACCTTTCGGCACCTCAGTCATGCCCTTGCCTTTTAATAGCCAAGAACTTCCAATTACTCCAAAGCGTGTTTTATTCTAAAAACACGGCAAATACAACCTCATGTCACAGGCCCTACTAGTCAGCCAATGAAACTTGGCCAACAGTGTCTTTTAAGAACTCCAAAATCACCCACTGTGCAAACAAGCCTCTCAAATTCGGGGTGCAGGGCGGAGGCGTGACAGCTCTGATCTGGGGTTGATTCCATTCCCAACAGCCGGCTCTCTGGCATCACCCCAGAGGCCTCCCCCGTACTTGCAGAGGAGGCCGCTAAGGCCTACGCGGTCAAACTCCCTTTCTCGATCGGCATACCCCTCCTGGTCTCGGGGAGACCTTGGCCTCCAGGCTCGTACGGCCGGCGGCCCACCCCGGGAGGCGCTAGCGCGAGGGACGCGAGGCGCGCGGGGACAGGGAACCGCACAGCTGTCCCGAGGGCCCCCAGACCAGGTCTGCCGCCTCCCCTCTCAGTCCCGCCCGCGGTGGCTGCTCACCTGGGTTGCCCGCCGGCGAGCCTGCGCCACCTCCTTCTGAAACTTGGCCTCTTCCTGTGTGTTCAGCGACAGGAACGGCTTAGCCGGGCCCGCGAAGACCGCCATGGCGACAACGTCCCAGCCGAAGAGCTCCACGCGGCTCCCCCGGAAGCGCCGAGCCCTCACGTCCTCCGAAGCGGAAGTGGGGGCAGGAGACCTGCGCGGCGAGGCACGGGGGGCGGGGCTTACAGCGCGGGACGGGGCGGAGCCCGGGAGGGGCCCGAGCGAACACGAGCGCCCACTGCTGGCCGGCCCCTCTTGGCTTTGCCCTCGATCCGGCCACCTGTCTAAAACGGCTGAAGGTAACTTCCTTGTTCCTTTCTGTCTACGTTGCGGCCAATCAATCAGGTTTAAAAATAAAGCCCCTGGCAACATCCATGCCCTCGAGGTCTTGCTGACCTTTCTTTAATTCTATTTTCTTTCTTACGCTCAGTTTTTGAGCCCTTAGTATGTCCTCGTGCTGCTGCCCTTAGGGAACTTAGAGATTGGGGGTGGGGGGGGCAAAGTAATGTTTGCGGTGGGCTTGGTGCAATAAGAGACATCAGAGCTGCACAGGGTAGAGGCATACTGGGCGACCAAGGAGGGTCTCCTGGAGTGGGTGGCATATGAATAGAGCCTTTAAGGCTGTCAGTTGCCTTCATGTGAAGATCTGGAGGCTCACTGTGCAAGTAGGGGGGACCCCATGTGTCCTTAGGGCTGGTAACAAAGAACCACCCAGTGGCTAGAGTTCAGCCAGTGAGGGATGAGGAGCAGTCTGGAGCTCCAAGGGCTTAAAGCTTGGCTTTTATTGTAAATACAAGGCTATATGAGGGTTTTAAGCAAAGCCGTGACTGTTTGTACCTTGTAAACGCTGTCACCGGCCTAACCTCTTGAACTCAGGACTGACCTCCTGAACTCCAGAAACTCCTAGAAGCTTCTGCCTATCAATCTTACTTTTTGGAAACTAACTAAGGAACTGCTGGAACAGAAAAAGTAACATTTGAGCCTAATGTGGGCACAGATGAATCAGAAAGTGCCTCAACCTCATTACAATGGTGAAATCCCCCTCTGAATATTCATGCTAAGGCCTAATAAAAGGGGCCTGCTTCTCCTTGCTTAGAGAGTCAAGGCTTTAGAAGTTATTCCCCCAAAATCTCCTGGTTTGTACAAGTAAAGTGACCTTGTGAGGCAACTATCTGGTGCAGTCTCTATAACTCACCAAGGAGAGGGCTCACTCTGGTCAGTAACTATACTGATGGGATTTGGGGTGACAGGGTTTCGGAGCTGACGGCCAAGAAAGAATTCTTGAAGAGAAAAAGGTGATTTTATTAAAGCACTGGGGACAGGACCCATGGGCAGAAAGAGCTGCCCTGGGGTGTGATGGGTAACTGATTATATACCCTCAGGTTGGGAGGGGATTAGGGACAGCGTAAGTCTCTAAGGAATTTTGGAAGCAGGGTTTCCAGGACCTTGAGAGGCCAGGTACTGTTAGAAAAACGTCATGTATTACCTTTAGTAAAACCTCAGTCATGAGACACTTTGGGTGTATATCAGGGGGCCATAAGCTTGGAGTATGATTGCCAGCGTATATCTTGGGGGGGTGGGTAGAGATAAAGGAAGTTTCCAAAGGAATTTTTATATGTTAAAGTACATTTACAGGATCCTGGGGGGTCAAGATAATTTTAAACCAAGATTCCATTTTGCCCCCAGCAAAGTGTCATCATCATGGCAGCTGAGCACCTAGAGGGAGGTCACTCTGCCTGTTTCAAGGACTTGTCTCTGGGTTGTAGGCAGTAAGGGAAATTAATTTTTCATTTGCCTTTGTTTCCCACATCTCCACGGCAGGCACTTAAACCCCTGTACATCTTGATGAGGATGATGTAATGGCTCCAGGAAATGGAGATTAGACTATAGATGAGATTGCCTTTTTCTTGCAGTTTACTGAGTTATCCATAAGCTGAAGGAGACTCCTGTCCTGCATGACTGTGATCTCTATCAGCCAACCGTCTGCTTTCTTTCCTTTCCCCTGTTATCGAGCAGCCAGGAGTGTCCGAGGAATGTGACACATATCCCACCTGGCTGGGGGGCGCTGTTAGCCTGTACCTTCCCTCAGCCTGCCCCATGGTCCCTCATCAATACGACTCTAGTAAGGGTAGACAGTGGACTGCAGATGTTAAAAAGAAAATGACTAGCCCCAAACGCAAGTCACTTATGTTAAGGACCCACGTCAGTAAACAAAGACTTAATACCTAACTGGACTGTAGTTCACTCCCCATGTAAACTTTAATCTGCCAAGCTGGAGGTCATTCTGATAGATCCCTTCCATTTGCCTTGGGAGGCTGACAAGTGACAATACATTATTTGCTGAAATTCCTCTCTCTTTCCTCTCTGCCTTTAAAATCCTTTTCTGCAGCTCCATGGAGCTCCTTTCTATTTGGTACAGGATTTTGCCCTCTTCATGAAACATTTAATGAAGCCATTTAGATCTTCAAGTTTCCTTGGTTCTATTTTGTTTTTAAAGATTTTATTTCAAAGGAATTTACAAGCCCCGACATGGGGCTTGAACTTATGAACCCTGAGATCATGGCCTGAGCCGAAATCGGACACTTCACCGACTGAGCCACCCAGGGGCCCCAGTAGTAGGGACACTACTAATGATCAGACTAGCAGCTGGCCTGCCTCATGGCCAGCGACAGACTAGACCCACAGATGCTTGTCCTTCCTTCCTTCACTTCCTCCCTCTTGTCCTTTCTGCTTTGCACACAGAGGCGGGGAGTCTGATGCTTTGCGCAGTGGCGGGGGGAGGGGTGGTCCTCACAGAGATGATTGATCCTGAATACAGTGCCTTGGCCCCCGCCCCCCAGCACTCAATGCCAGTGGCACCCGTATTCATTGTGACAACCCGAAGGCCTCCAGACACTTCCACACGCCCCTCCGTGGACGACTGAGTGTGTGCTCACTGTGTGTGTCTCCCTTCCTTTTCCCCCATTGACCTCCGATGCCATCCCCTTGTTGGGATGGAGTGGTGGCATGTCATCCCCGTGCTGCCACTGTCCCCACCTATGGGCCAGAGCCCAGCGTGGTAAGGCCCGGGAGCTGGGCCTTAGAAGGAGGAGGCTTGTGGGGAGGCCCCGAGGGCAGTAGGGCACTGGGAGGGAGCCCTGGGAGGTACCCACGTAGCCCTGACTCCCCTCCCCTTCCCGCCACTCTGCCCTTGGGGTCACCCAACATACCCACCTGGATAGTGGGCCAGCTATTGAGTCAGCCTGCTCAGCCCCACCCAGCTGCTCCCTGCTGGTCACGGGCCTGCGGGAATGGGCTGAAAGGGACAATTCTGGGGGGAAAGAGAAGGAGAGGCTGTGTCACTAGCCTCTACAGGGCAGCCTCAGTGTCACCCAACAAACTAAAAATTCAGGAGCGCATGACCTGAAGCTGTGAGGGGAATTTTCCTCCTCTGTATGGGAGGGAATGGCCATCACTTCTGCTACGTCCTGCCCTGTGCCAGGTTTAAGGTCACACACGGCTCCACATTCAGCCCCCGTGTGTGGCAGTCACCTGGGTGAAGCCGGGTAGACACCCGGGGATTAGGGGTGGGAAAAGTGGGTTGTGGGGGTGGCCAGAGGTCCAGCCTCCCTGTGAAAGTTGGGTTGACTCACCATCCCCTCCTCCATCCCAGGATCCGTTCTTTATTTATTTTTTTTTTAATGTTTTTATTTATTTCTAGGAGAGAGAGAGAGAGAGAGAGAGAGACAGCGTGAGCAGGGAGGGTCAGAGAGAGGGAGTCACAGACTGAAACAGGCTCCAGGCTCTGAGCTGGCAGTCAGCACAGAGCCCGACGCGGGGCTCGAACCCACAAACGCGAGATCATGACCCAAGTGAAAGTCGGACGCTTAACCGACTAAGCCACCCAGGTGCCCCACCAGGATCCGTTCTTTAATTTCAGTATGGGGATAAGTCATGGGGTCCTGGGGCCCGTGGTTCCCATCGTTTCGCTCTTTCCAGCTTGTATTAATCATGGTTTTTAAAAATGTTTATTTATTTATTTTGAGAGAGAGAAAGAGAGAGGGGCAGAGAGAGGGAGACAGCCTCCCAATTTCCCACCGTCCTTCATCTCTGCGAAAGTATCCCTCTCCTTTGTTCCCCCGACGTGGCTATAGTTTTTCCACAGTTTCATCTGAATTGCAATTCTCTGTCATTCCCCAACAAACCTATCTTTTCCTGGTATGATATCTGTCACTCTTATTTATAAGGTGAACATTGTATACCTCAAACCATTGAAAGCAGGAACTTCAAGTGATATTTGCATAGCTATGCTCATCACAGCATTATTCACAATAGCCAAAAGGTGGAAAAACAGCCTAAATTTCCACTGAAGGGATGAATGGATAAATAAAATGTGGTATACACATGAAACAGAATACTATTCAGCCTTAAGAAGGAATGAAATTCTGACACATGGTGCAACATAGATAAACTTTGGAGTCATTACCCTAAGTGTAATAAGCCAGTTACAAAAAGACAAATACCATATGGTTCCACTTCTCTGAGGTACTTAGAAGTGTCAAATTCATAGGGACGGAAAGTAGTCCTGTGCACATTTATAGTTCTCCAGACTTTTAGAGATAGGTGTAACGGAGTCCCGCTCCAGCAGATGCAGGGGTCCCCGAAGGATGGATGGTGTCGGCAAGAGAGGGATGAGAGAGCTGCGAGATTCTTTCTGGTCACCAGCCAGGCATCTCTGCACTGTCTGAGACTCAACTTTATGATTTAGTGTTTGGGGGACAGCACAAAAGTGGCATTCTGATGATAAATGTTTTGAGCAGTAGAAACTTTCCAGAACATTGATATGCATAGGTGTATGGGGAACAGCTCACAAGTGGCATTCAAATATAAACAGGATGTTTTTAGCATAGTAAAGGCAAAAGTTAGTTCTTTGTGAGCAGGGGTCAATAGACTGTTTATCGCTTAATGGGAAGTATTAAGAAAAACAGGTTTTTCAGGAATGCAATATTGCTCCCATAACCACAAAAGAAGAAGTTCCTACAGTAAGTTCCTTCACAAGGTGCAAACAGCATGTCAAGGCCAGAATGAGTCACTCCCAAAAAATCAACAAGGTGCCTTGAGGGGTAGGTGCTCAAGCAGAAACAATTGAGTGGGGGTGGGTATCAGTCACCATCTGACACTAAGACTCTGTGCACCTTACCTTAAACTCATAAGGAGCTTTTCTCAACTAGTGAGTTCAGAAACAGCTCCCAGCATAGGTGTTAATGAATTCTGATCTGACAAATGAGAAAAGACACTCTTAGGGGATGCTTAAACCACTTAGATTTCTAGGAAAACAGTGATTTGGCAGATTCTTATGTCTGCTAGAGCTTCAAAACTCACAATCTTTATTTTGAGTGGAAATAGAGAGAAATGTCGCAGGATTTGAAAAATGATTTTGGATTTATATGAAGTTAGTCAATACACAGAAAGTGATGCTAAGAACATGCTTGGCAAGTACCAAGTCTACATAAAAACGAGCTCCTGTTCCTATTTTCATCCTTTTTTGTGAATTAGAGATTCTACTGCTTATGTTACACCACAGAATGGTACAGATGTCAGAGGAACACAAGCAAAAGTAAATAAATAAAATAAAATAAAATAAAAATCTTGAGCTTGAGCAAGTTGTTAAGATAGCTTTTCCAGCCTGTCACATTTTAAGCTTGTAGGGGTCAAGTTAGATAAGGCAATTGAAGCCTCTTGCAAATATTATTGTTAAACGGTATAGAGATGATAAATAGCATAGAAATTAAGACAAATCATTTGGATTCCAGCTTCAACATTTACTAGCTGCATACCACCTTAGGCAAGTCAATTAATCTGTTACTATAGTTATTTCATTTATAAGGTAACACTGATATCCACTTCATAAAAGTATAATGCAGTTACAATGTCTTTCATGTAAGTTTTAGAATAATGTCACACACAAAGCAAACAACTTTCATCTAGTTGAAATAAGTAATCATTTTAAGTCATTTGGAGAGTGCATCCTACTGTCAATTAGATATAATTATATATATAAAACGTATAATTTCTAGACATGACTCTTTTTCGAGAAAAGCTCCATTTCCAGTTCTGTAACAAAGCTAATTAACCCCTGAACTGAACAAAAGGACTGGTCAGAAGTAATTGTTTCACACGCAATTGCTCCTAAAATCAACGGGACCACCGGCTTCCCAATCATAAGACTCTTGGTTATGGACTTTCTGAAAGCGTAATAGTTAACTAATGTATACCAAGAATCGCTTCGTGTGTCAACAGTAGACAGTGATCACAGTGTAACCCAAAACGTATTAGCCCTCAACCTGTTAGTATAAATTAACTTTTTTTTCCCTTTTATCCGTCATGTGGTTCTCCCCGCCTACCCCCCACTTCCCCTGCTTTCACCCTGCAGGCGGGACACTTCCTTGATTATTGCCTGAGTCTGTGCTCACCGAATTGCAATTCTTCGATCTCAAACACTTGTTTGGTTCTCATAGCGTCTTTTTATTTTCAGGTTGACGCAACGCATTCACACACATTTCTATCTGTACAACAGATGTATGGAATAACTCTGCAAGGACAAGAAATCCTTAAGGCGCTTGCCTCAAGGAAGTTGGGATAAGGAGGTGTTAGTTGAGTGGGAGAGGAACTTCCCGCCATACACGCTTTAAAAATCCATATAATTTAAATAGGTTATTCAGTCATACAGAGAAGACGTTAACATTTTTCATCCGCAATCCATCTCCTACTCTCACGGTCCCCCCACATCTTTAGTTCCCGTGTATTCTTGGCAAATACGAATGCATGGTTTGTCCTGTTTCCGCACGAAGATTACACTGTCTTTCTGCACTTGTATTTTTACGCAAACTCTTCAGCAACGAAGCATTTCTCCTCCCACCCGCCACAGCATAAACAAATACGTAATTTCAAGGCTGCGCTCGCTTGCCCCGCCCCCAAGCCCGCCCCGCCCTGCCCCCTCAGGCCCGCACTCCGCGAGGGACCCTTCTCTCCGCTTAGCGGAAGGAAGGCTTCCGGCCTTTCCCGTCCGAAGTTCCCCAGATGAAAGCTCCGCCCAGCATTTCCCGCCCCGCCCCCTGGGCGCGCGCCTGGGCTCCTGACGCGGCCGGCGGCGTATCAGGCAGCGCAGCGGGCAGCCTGGCAATCCTGCGCGCCGCGGACCTCGGAGGACCCCGGCGACGTCCGCAGCGTAGGGCCGGGTGGACGCGGCGGCGGCGGCGGCGGCGGCGGCGGCGGCGGCGACTGGCGTTGCGAGTGACTGCGCTGGTGGGCTCTGAAACCCATTTCGGCGGCCACCCTCGCCGCGCTGGTCGATTGTTGTGCAGCCGGCGCCATGTCTGTGAGCGAGATCTTCGTGGAGCTGCAGGGTTTTTTGGCCGCCGAGCAGGACATCCGAGAGGCGAGCCTCCTCTCTTCCCCTCCCCTTTCCCTTTCCTTTCTTGCTTGGCCACCGCGCCCGGCCCTCCTCTGTCGCTCTGTCTGGAGCAGTGGGGAAGCCTCCGGGGGTGGGTTGCTTCCCCGCCTGTATCAGCTGAGGGCACGCTCCTCTCCCGCCCCTAATTCTGCAGTCCGGTCCTGAGTCTCAGTGTTCGAGTCTTGGCTCTTCGGCATCGCAACCTCGTTCGAGTGTCAGTCTCCCTGCTTTCTGGCGCTTGTTGATGCCGAAGGCTCAGCGCTTGGGACTCAAGAGAACACGCGTTCCCTGTTGTAGCACGTGTGGCCTCTTGTCTTTAAGACTCTCTTATGGTTTCTTGTTCCACATAGAATAGTAATCCAGATTCTGTTGTAGCCCACAGGTGTCTTCTCCCCTCCTTCCATCTCATTTTACGCCATCTTCCGTTGTGTATTATGTTCACGTTAGTTATCTTTTATTCTTCAAGTTCCGCAGATAGTTTTTTTTTGCCCCAGGACATTTTCCTGCATTGTTTGCTTTTCCTGGGATTCGCATCTTTCCTCTCCTTTCCTGCTTGTTTCGTTTTCATATCCTTGATCTCACAGTCTGTCATGTTTTTTAATAGCGCATTCACATTAAAAAAATTTGTGCCATCCGTGTTTTTTTAAACATCTATCTCATGCTCCAAACTACAAGAAGGAAGGGACTAATTGGGTACCAGTATTTACACAGCGCTTCCCACGTAAATATGCTGTGAATATTCTAAAATGATTGAAAAATACCCAGTCTTTGTATTGCATTGCATTTTTCTTTTTCTTACAAATTACATTCAGATACTTCATTTCTTTTAATATTCATGGTGTTTCAATGGGATATTTGGGTGGGTGGTGGAGATTATCCTTTGAAGGCTGCATGAGAAATCTCAGGCACTGTAGTGACCTCTTGAAGGTCTCACAGAGGAAGTAAATGGCAAAGTCAGAATTCAAGCCTGGATATTTTCTGTACCAGTTCAGTCCTTGTAAAGATTGTTAGAGTTTTACATGTGTGTGAAGGTGTCATGGGTACTTAATCTGTGCTGTCTAATATATCTGGCTTGAGGTTATGAAAATAGTTCCATTGAGTTTATCTGATACTTTGATTTTTAATTCTTTCTAGGAAATCCGAAAAGTTGTACAGAGTTTAGAACAAACAGCTCGAGAGATTTTAACTTTACTGCAAGGGGTCCATCAGGGTGCTGGTTTTCAGGACAGTAAGTTCTTTGTTTTGATTTTGAAGATTTTTTTTAAGTTTATTTACTTATTTTGAGAGAGAGAGAACAGGGGAGGGGCAGAGAGCATGGGAGAGAGAGAATTCCAAGCAGGCTCTAGATTGCTAGCACAGAGCCTGAGGTGGGGCTTGATCCCACGAACATGATATCATGACCTGAGCTGAAATCAAGAGTCGTACACCTAACCGACTGAGCCACTCAGGTGTCCCATTGGTTTTGAATATTTAAAAAGAATCCAGTTTATGATTCTTTCACTTAAGACTTAATTTCCATTCAGAAGACATTTCAAGTCTGTATCATTGTTTTAAGAAAAATGTCCCTGATAGCCTATGTAGGTGAGTTGAGTGTCTTATAGATTTACAGACTTCTGGAAGTCTGTGTGCTGTGATGGTTGATTTTCCACTTTCACATAGTAATGTAGTAATGTCATTATAACGTGATAATTGTGGCAGATTTGTAGTTCTCTTGTGTATCTAATTTTTATTTGGCTTTCTTGTTCTTAAACCCAGTCTTTCCTGGGGCACCTGGGTGGCTCAGTCAGTTAAGTGTCTGACTCTTGATTTCAGCGCAGGTCATGATCTCACGGTCTGAGAGTAAATTTGAGCCCCGCGTTCTACACTGCACTGATGGCATGGAGCCTGCTTGGGACTCTCTCTCTCTGCTCCTGCTTGCTCGCGCACTCTCTCTCTCTCAAGATAAATAAACATTAAAAGAAAAATAAACCCAACCTTTCATTCATTGAGTATGGCTTAATATGCATTTGTGGGTAAGAAATGTCCAGTGTAAAACGTTCCTAATGAATTATAGTCAGCACCTTTCATGGAAATCAAATATGATAAGTTTAAACATGGGGCCTTCAGTGTAGGATGTAGCCAGCACAACTGAAAGAGCGGGAATATATTTTCAGAGTGTGATATAATAGTGTAACTTACAGTTGCACAGGGAAGTCATTTTTCTCAGTGATATGGACTTGGTCAGTCTGTATAATTGATAAGGCTTCTTTGTGACCAAATGTGGGAGCGAGAAGCTGTCCAATTTTAGGCATCCTTTTGGATAGCAGCTGGTGCATGGCCCCTTAAGGATGACAATTGTTATTATTTTTTAATTTCTTTTTTTTGGAGTTGGTTTATTTTGAGAGCGAGAGAGATGTAGGGTGTCGGGGGGGGGGGTTTAGAGTGAGGGAGAGAGAGAGAGAATCCCAAGCAGGCTCTGCATTGTCAATGCACAGTCCAGTGTGGGGCTCAAACCCACGAACTGCTAGATCATGACCTGAGCAGAAACCAAGAAGTTGGACGCTTAACTAACTGAGCCACCCAGGCACCCCAAGGATGAGATTATTTGACAGCTTACCAACTTGCTTGCTGTAGTCTTATTCCCTTTCAGCAAGTTTTTGTCTATTTTTCAGTGTCGGTTAATGAGTAGGGAAACTAGAGTTGAAATTTTGAGAGCCAGGTTGAAAAGTACAGATGTGCACCCTTACATTTGGTGATGAGATTTTTTTTTTTAAACATTGATTCATTTCCAGATAGACTACATAGATTATTAAGCAAGAACTGTATTTGAAATTTGGCAAATCTTTCATTATCCTGTTTGATTATCTTTTTGTGATCAGTTCCAAAAAGGTGTTTGAAAGCTCGAGAACATTTTGGTACAGTGAAGACGCACCTAACGTCGTTGAAGACCAAGTTCCCCGCTGAACAGTATTACAGGTCTGTGAGAGGAGTAGCATTATTTTTGTAGTGTTAAGTAAAAATTAAGGCAGGACAAAAATTATATGTACCGGATGATTGCTTAGAACTAAGTAAAAACCTCTCCATGTAGAAGAAACAACGCAAAGGAGTCAGACTTACCGGTGGTATTTTAATGGTGACAAAGGTAGGGATTTTTCCCCCCTCTCCTTGAGAATTTTCCCAAGGAACACATAACTTTTACAGTGAAAAAGGAATTTAAAAGTGTTTGTTGTATTAAGGTCAAACAACGAGTATCTTTTTAGTGTATTTAAGTCACCTGTGAAATTGGGTGAACCATATCCAGGCTCTTAAGGTTATGAGATTAAGTGGCAGTATATAAATGGAGTTGAGTTTTTCCTCAAAGTTTGAATTTTACTGCCAAGTAACATGTTGAGCCAATATTCTGTATCTTGCTGACCATTAATTTTAAGAGTCAACAGTACTTAATGCACCACTAGGGAAGAAATTTGTTGCCAGTCATAATTGTGAAATTTATAGATTATAAAATGCATCACAATCTCATAGATATTAAATTGGAAAGAACTGCATCTGAGTATTGACAAAATATAGTGAATAAGAACCTAAAATTTCTACTTGTGCCTGTTTTCCTACTGAAAAAGATGTTCTGTTAAGCCACATACGTGGGCACAAAATAAGACACGTATGTGAGAAGTGGATAATACAGCTTCACGGGATAATTTAAGGCAGGGGCTGGCGCACTGCCTGTGGCTCACTGCCTCTGGAGGCTTCTATTTTAAAGGATTGTTAAAAAAAGAAAAATACCCAAGTTAAGAATATGTGACAGAGTCTGAATGTGGTTCACAAAGCCTAAAGTACTACGATCTGGCCCATCACAGAAAGTTTGCTGACCCTGCTGTAAGGTAGTAATGGACACAGAGAGACACTGAGAGATAGGGTTGGCAGGATCTTGGGGATCGTGTAGTTTGGAGGTCACACAAAGGCTGACCTCTGGGTGATTTGGCTCTTAGAGGGTTTTGTTTGATGTGCATCATATTGAAAAGTTTTTTTGAATTTGCCATATTTGAAATTCAGGAGACGTAGCATTAATATTTGAGGTTGTAAAATTCCCTATTCTTTTTTTGAGGCTTCTAGCTCAGTTTAACTGCAGGCTCCTGAAGGTTTAAGTCTGTCTGTTTAGTGATTCCAAATGGTAGTTATTATATGTATGAATCAAGATTTTAATATTACACACTCACATCAAAATGTGAGAACAAGTTAGCTGTTGAGGCTGATGTACAATTGCAGCTCTCCTCATCTGCTGTTGCCAGTTTTAATTTTTCTCAGAGCGCTCTCATTGTTTTTGTCATCCATAATCTTCAATTGTAAATATCTTTATATTCATTGAAGTTGGATCATGTGTCTCATTTATTAAGCTTCTAATAAGTAATTGCTTATAAACGTGAACTTAAAACTTATGTTAAATCCATCTAATATCTAATATATATAAATGTCATGTTTTTACGTGTTTTTTATGTTGGGGTTTCACATGGATTTGATTGGAAAGAGCGTTCTGTTTCTAAGATGTGTGACTACGACTGTACTAAATCTTTTTTTTTTTTAATTTTTTAAATGTTTTATTTATTTTCAAGAGAGAGAGACAGCGTGAGCAGGGGAGGGTTAGAGGGAGGGAGACACAGAATCCGAAACAGGCTCCAGGCTCTGAGCTGGCTGTCAGCACAGAGCCTGATGCGGGCCTCAAACCCACCAACCGTGAGATCCTGACCTGAGCTGAAGTCAGACACCCAACCAACTGAGCCACCCAGGCACCCCTAAATTTGTTTTAAAGCCCCTGGTCCCCCCCACCTAAATGAGCTTCTATCCGTGCAGATTTCACGAGCACTGGAGGTTCGTGTTGCAGCGTTTGGTCTTCTTGGCAGCATTTGTGGTGTATTTGGAGTCAGAAACGCTTGTGACTCGGGAAGCGGTTACGGAGATTCTTGGCAGTAAGTATTTCCATTAGTGCGGGTCGGCAGAAGCAGCCTTGGTCGCTCAATTCCTGGTTGCAGGGGGAGGCTGTTGCTTATACTTTGTATTTATTAAAACAAATGAGCACTAAGTGCTAACATAATGACTTGGGAACACCAAAAATCAGACATGTAGTGGCTTGCTTTTTGTACTTGGGTGTTGTTTGTGGTTTTTAAAATTTAGGTCTTAAAAAAAATCCAAGCCTACAGAAAGTTGAAAGAATAGTACAGTGAACGCCTGTTTACACCCCGCTTAGATTTTGTGCTTGCTAACATGTTGCCATGTCTTAAAAAAAAATTTCTTTTTAAAATTTTTATTTTAGGGTCTGCGCGTGAATGGGGAGGGAGGCAGAGGGAGAGGGAGAGAGAATTCTAAGCAGGCTGCATGCTCAATGTGGGGCTTGATCTCACAACGCTGGGATCATGAGCTGAGCTGAAATCAAGAGTCACATGTTCAACCAACTGAGCCACCCAGGCGCCACAACGTTTTGCCCTGTCAGTGCATCTTCTTAATTTGTGCATGCGCGTGCACATTCGTGTGCATGTGTGAGCCTCGTGGACGTCACCTATGGGTGTCATGGCTTCTCCTCTAAATGCTGCGACATCTTGTGTCCAGAAACAAAGATATTCTCTGGTGTAACCAGATAACATTCTGGGTGCTGTTACTTTTTGAGAGAATGAGAGGAAAAAGGGAAGTCTTAAGAGTTCATAAATCCACAGTGAGGCCTAGTTGTCCAGAGTATGAACACGTTATAAAGACTGTTGTAAAAGATTCTTTTTCTTTTTCTTTGAGGAAAACGACGTGTGTGTGTATATGTAGTATTTTATATTCTTTTTTTTTTTTTTTCCCCACCCCAGTATTTTATATTCTTATGCTCACATGCTGTTTACATCATGACCTTATTTTTACTTTGTTATATTTTTTAGTTGAGCCAGATCGGGAGAAAGGATTTCATCTGGATGTAGAAGATTATCTCTCGGGAGTTCTAATTCTTGCCAGTGAATTGGTAAGAAGCTTAGTAATTTGCCATTTGCGTTTTTGATCTTCCCACTTTACTGTCAGTTTTTAAAATGGGCACAAAAATTCAGGATGTCTTTTCTAAGCCCTTTGTCTATCACCAGTTTGTCCTCAAGCGCTGTGTGTGCTGTGTTCTGCTAGTCATCGGAGAAAGGCCAGTTCATACAGTGAGCTAGCTGTTCATATGGACTAATGTGTGAATTAAAAAACTTTTTTTAAATTATTTTTATTTATTTAGAGAGTGAGCGAGCGAGTGGTAAGGGTCAGAGAGAGAGGGAGATGCAGAATCTGAAGCCGGCTCCAGGTTCTGAGCCATCAGTGCAGAGCCCGACATGGGGGGGGCTCAAACCCATGAGTGAGATCATGACCTGAGCCAAAGTCGGACACTCAACCAACTGAGCCCCCCAGGTGTCCCCTAATGTGTGAATTTTTAAAAGATCGTAATCCCTCTCCCTTTCCAAGTAGTGGCAAGACACATATATTCCTGGTAACTGTGTTAATATGTATACTTGCTTTGGGGAAAAATCTTTTCTTTTATTCTCGTAATCTGTCTCTTGAGAAATTGTCCTATGGAAATAATTCTAAAGAAGAAAAAAAGGTTGTTTTAAAGCTGTTGTGATCAGAAGGAAGGCCTGGTGCCCAGCCCTGTTGTAAGATATGTTGTAAGATATGTCCGTTTCCCTTCCCTGGTGCAGTCAAGGCTGTCCGTCAACAGTGTGACCGCCGGAGACTATTCCCGGCCCCTCCACATCTCCACCTTCATCAACGAGCTGGATTCCGGCTTCCGCCTTCTCAACCTGAAAAACGACTCCCTGAGGAAGCGCTATGACGGCTTGAAGTATGATGTGAAGAAGGTGGAGGAGGTGGTCTACGACCTCTCTATCCGTGGCTTCAACAAGGAGACCGCTGCGGCTTGTGCAGAGAAGTAAAGTAGGAGGCGGTCCCCGCGCCCGGCCTGCTGGCCTCAGCCGGGCTGGGGCGGGTGAGCACGGTGCCTCCCCAGGCAGTTAGGTTGCCTCATTGCTAAACACCGCGCTTTATTTTCTCAACCAGTTGTGTGGTGGAAGTATCAAAATTGAAACACTTTCTTGGGGGTGAAAAATAGCCTTTACAAGGACAGATTTTCTTTGTTGTTTCAGTGAATTTGCTCTATAATTCAGCGTATTTCAGTTTTGTCAGAAAGTGTAAATGTCAGTCTCTTGGTACAGTCCTTTTCTCGCTTATCCTGATGCTGTTGATGTACCAACTGAGAAGTTTATCGTCTTGTGTTTCCTCCAGAAGTGACCCTTGGTGTTTTCTATACCCAGACTAGCCATCCATACCCAGGTGTGTGTAGCCTGGACACAGTATAAAAATAAGTAATTAAAAAGGATGGTTGCCAAGCAAAGGACAATTTATTTTATATTTTCTCTCCTTATTTTAAGCCTTGTGAGTAAATCATACATTGACATTTTTTGCAAGGGAGTTACAGCCCCAGGGTCTCTCTCACTGCCATCAAAATATAAAAGGTAAAATTGCAAAGCCAAGTTTAGATTATTTTGGGACTTTTTTTGTATTAAGGGATTGAGTAACATCTTATTTGGCTCTATTTACCAGGTGGGGCGTAGGGCGTAGTGTTTTACAACACCTCTGTTTTCTGATGTTGCCTTAACATTCTGCTCTTGCAGCAACTTAAAACTCGTTTTCACACACATCTTGAACTAACACTTCATATAATATATTTTTAAGCTATGAAACCTTTTTCCTAGCAGCCAGCTAGACCGTCTGGTCTGAGACTACAGAGCCACCCAGTCAAGTTAATCAGCAATTCCCCGGCTGGTGTGTTCTGAGAGAAGAATGCTGGGCTTTGTCCGGAAAAAAGAGAAAACCTCGGTTTAAAAAGGAAGATTGGCTGATTTGGTGATGGTTTTTAGAGTAAGCAATTTCAGGTTTCGGCAGCTATCCAAACAGTCAGGTTTTAGATTTACAGTTTGGGGCAAGTCCTGTAAACCTTGTTGGCACCCTCCTCCCCTTCCTCGTTTTCAGCTAGTGCTAAGAAAACTTGCCATGTAATTTTTGCTGTTGAGTTGAAATGATTTAAAATGGGGACTTCATCCACAGTTTTTTGGAGCTTGCTGAGAGGAAGGTGCTAGTGTTTCCAGAATAGTAGGAAGCATTGAGAGGTGTCCTCCTCTCATGCCCAGTACCAGGTGAGGCTTTCTGTTTGTGCAGTGGGATATTTGGCATTGCTATCCGAGCCGTTATCCGGCCAAGGTAAGGACTGGCCAGATTTTCCACCATGAGGAAAAGAAGTAGAAATGAAGCATAAATTGCTATGCATTTTTGGGTTTTAGAACAGTTTTCTTGATAGCTCTTTCTGCAGAAGAGTTTGTAGAAAGAAGAAAGTTGTTCAGGTCTCTGAAGTGCCTCGGTGGCCGCCTAAGATGTGCAGCGATAGCACTCCCTGCAGGGAGCAGAGAAGGCTTCACGTTACGTGATCAAATGTGTGCACTGGGGTCGGTGGTCGTTTTCTTCTATATGGAGGATGAATTCTGATGTGTTTTGAGGCTGAAGAACACCAGGGGGGAGAAGCACATCCTGCAGTGTAACAGTTAAAGTGATCAAGAGATGCCAACCACTCAGAGTGAAGAGTATTTTGATTGAAGGTATCGAAAAGCCTCGGCTCTGGTTTTAGTATACCAAAATTGTTCTTTTCAACTTTAGAGGATCGAGCAGGTTAGAAAAAATAGAGACGAAAATTAGTGGATGTTTCCTTTATAAATTTATTTATAAGAAGAGAACCCTTCAATACTTCGTAAGATTTGCCCTGTCTTAAACTTGAACGATATTGGTAAACGCTTAAGAGAATTTAATAAAGAACAAAAGCTTCTTTGGCAGTGTTTTGAGTCCTTTACTTAAGTGGCTGGAGAGTCGAGATGCATGTGCACAAGGCCACGGGCACAGTTCCTGATGTGCACTCAGAAATCAAGGCCCTCTTGTGTTTTGGTCTAGACTGAACTGACTTTTCAGGTAGAGCATCATTGTGTGCCCAACCCCAGTGAGGTATTCCCTGAGTCTGAAGTCATTTGTTTTCTTAGTCTTCACTGTAGTGGACTAAACAACAATAACAAAAATATCGCCCCTCACTCCAAACAACGATAAGAAACCTTAAGGGAGGATTAAGTTGATTAACTGCATTGGTGGTTTGAGTGAGCTGAGGGTGAGGTCGGGGTTGGGGGTGGAATCTAACTTAATGGTCAGGTTTCTAGTCTGAGAGACTAAGTTGATTTAGGTGCTGTTAGCTAAGGCGGGGGTGGGGGGGTGGGGTGGGAAGACTTGAATGTGTTGGGTTTATGATGCTTGTTGAGCACGAGGCGGAGATGGCCAGTGGGACTTCGGGCATAAGGAAAGCTCAGAGCCAGCCTGGGGTAGCTCTGGGTAGCAGTAGTGTGTGTGTGGTAGGGAGGTCAGCAGAGTGGGTATGATCTCCCTGCTGAGCGTGAACAGTGAGAAGAGTAACGAGCCGAGGACAAAACCCTGGTTAACAGCAGGGTTTATAAGTTAGGGAAATGGAGAAAGGGTTGGAGAGACTGATGGAGAACAGAAGCTTGTCACAGAAGCCAGGGGAGTAATGGGGCTCTGGAAGGCTTTTTTGGGGGGGTGGGGTAACAGATTTAAAATACATACTTTCAGGGGTGCCTGGGTGGCTCAGTTGGTTGAGTGTCTGACTCTTGATTTTTGCTCAGGTCATGATCTCACGATTGGTGAGTTTGAGCCCTGAGTTGGGCTCTGCGCTGACACCAAGGAGCCTGCTTGGGATTCTGTCTCTCCCTCTCTGCCCCTCCCTCATGTGAGCGAGCACGTGAGCTCTCTCTTTCTCTCTCTCTCTTTTTCTCCCCCTCCGTCTTTAAAAATAAATAAATCTTAAAATGAAATACATACTTCCACAGCCTGAGAGCCCTGCCATTGTCAGGCGAGTCTAGGTTATGCTGTGCTAATAAAACCCCAAAACTCACAGGCATAGGACAGAGTTTATTTGTCACTCACACTGTGTGTCCATTGCAGGTTAGCTGGGGAGCTGCTCCACGTTGTCTACATCCAGCCGACCGGAGCCGCAGGCCCGCACACCGCTATTCGCTGTGGGAGAGGGACTCAGCTGCGGAGGGCCTCATGCAAACACATGTTCTGGTTTCAGAGTGACATGTCACTTCCTCTCATAGCTCACTGGTTAGAACTGGATCCTCTGCCCTAAACAGCAAGGGGGCAGGAGGGGAATCCTGCCTCGTGGGATAGGGGTCTGCACATGGGGTCAGACTAAGTGTTAAAAGTTGCAGGCAATATGGAGTTCCTTCAGTTGAATGATTCGTATTTCTGGTCACACGGAAACGTCACTGGGCTTGGGAGGGGCCGCTCTTCCCTGTCGGATGACAAGAAGAGGGTGGGCCCGTCAGTAGCCGTCCTCTCTGCCGTGGAAGCTGGTTTCCTGTCTGAAAGATTTCTCTGGTGTGTGCATTTGTGTCGGTTCGTGTGTGAGTGTTTTAGGCCAACATTCAGTGAGTTCTTGTATGTTGCACGCACCGGGTTAGACATTTTATCCAGATCATCTGATTTCCTCCGCGTGTAAACCTGTGAGGTGTCCACCACCATTTCCCTCGTTTTAGACCAGGAGCATGCTTAGAGCAGGCTGGCCACTTGCCCTGCGTCCACAGCCATGAGGCAGGAGGGGGTGTGATTCAGACACACTTACTCTGCCTCCGTACCCACACACACTGTTCCTGCACTGATGGTTTGGATGGCCTCCGTAGCCTGACCAGGAAAGTCCCAAATCCACCAATAGTTACGAACACAGTGTCTGTGTAGCTTTGGGTTAAGTGCAGTCTCTGTTAGAAATCAGCATAAAAACTAGGTCTGGCCCTCGAGATGTTTGGGGTCTAGTTACAGGGGGGAGGGTGGTGAGAAAGATAGAAGCAGTTAAGAGATGAAATGTTCAACTAGTATTTGAGCACCTACTGTAATCTTGGAATTCTTAAAGTTTTATGGAGGTACATTTTACAAAGAAATCAAGCGACTTAATTTATAAAGTAGTACGACAGTCATGTATTAGTTTTGGACCATTTTTATCTTCCAGAAAGATCCCAGCTTCAGGCAACCACGAATCTACTTTGTTTCCCTAAATTTGCCTTTCCAGGGTATTTCCTGTGTACGGAATCATGCAGTCTGTGGTGTTTTGTGTCTCCTCAGGTAGCGTAGTGGTTTTAAGGTGTGTCAGGGCATAGTGTGGCGTGTGTTGGTATATGTTCCTTCGTATTCCTGATCAGCATTCCTTCGTGTGGGTTCTCTGCGTTTTACCCATTGATGAATGGGTAAAATTGAAGTTTCTGCTTTTTGGTTGTTATGGATACTGTTGCTTTGGATATCCTTGTGCAAGTCTGTGTAAGATTGGGTATTTCCATTCCTTTTGCATAGTTATTCAGGAGTCTGGTAAAAATGGTGATTTAATGTTTAGCGTTTGAAGAAGCTGTCAACCTATTTTCCCTTCAGTGACCTATGAGTTACCAGTCAAGACGTATTAGACAAGATGTTGTTAGCAACTTTGTTGCTAAGTAAGTCGTGAACTGTTGCTGTAGGAATTACGGATGTGTAATACGGAGTGGCTCATGAGAGAGGTAGGTAAGCCCTACCTACCTAGCACGGAACTAGGAGAAGGTCATTTTTCGGGGGACAGAATGGAAACCAAAACAGAAATGGTACGGGCATAGCACAGAAACACAGTGGATTCAGTTCCAGATCACAGCAGTAAAGCAAATATCGCAATAAAACAAGTCAAATGGATCCTTTCCCAGGGCAGATAAAGGTCACGTTTATGCTGTACCGTAGTCTATGAGGTGTGCATTGCATTATGCCCGGAAAAGTACATACCTTCATTAGATAGTACTTTATCGCTAAAAATGCTATCTGTGCTCTCATTGAGTTGTGATCATTCGTCACAGATCACCAGAATATGATAATGAAAAAGTTGGGAATATTGTGAGAATTACCAAAATATGACAGATGTGAAGTGAGCAGATGCTGTTGGGAAAACGGGGGCGACAGACTTGCTTGACACAGGGTTGCACAGCTTTCAACTCATAACAGACGCAGCATCTGGGAAGTGCGGGGAGACGAGGCATGCCTGTGTTAATTTCATAGGAATGGGGATGTCACACATCGGATTCCAGGAGATGGCCTGGTGAGGTTGTACTGTTAGGTTTACAAAACCTGAATTGAGAGGTTAAAGTTGGGACTTAGAATGATGGGGATTGGGGGACTGTATGGCTTTTTTCTTCTCTTTTCTTTTTTTGAAGTGGGGAGGGAGCAGTTCAGGAGTCAGCCGTAGTTTTGAATCCTGGCTGTCATTTACCAGTAGAAGAGCCCAAAGGCAGGCCTGTGAGGAGGTGCTTGCCGTCCTTGAGGTTGTGAAAGTCAGCTTGGGCAGCTGGTGGCGGGCCTGGTTGGAGGCAGATGCAGTATGCTGTGAAGGAAAAACCAGGTGAGCTTGGAATCTGGGGTAGGAGAGGTATTGCGGACTGAATGTGTCCCTTCTTGTGCCTACGATAAAGCCTAATCCCCAATCCCCCGCTGGATGGTCCTGGAGGTGGAGCCTGCGGGAGGTAATTAGGTCATGAAGGTGGGGCTCTCCGGAATTGGGATTAGTGCCTGAATAAAGGGACCCAGCGTTCCTTGTGCCTCCACCATGGGAGGACATGGCCAGGATTCAGCCCCTCACCAGGCACTGAATCAGCTAACACCTGATCACCTTGATCGTGGATCTGTTGTTTGAGCCACCCTGTCAGTGGTAGTTTTGTTATAGCAACCTGAACGGGCTAGGACAAGGGATGCCTATGCTGAAAACATAAGTGCGGGAAGCGGGGAGCTAGTTTCAGGGGGAAGGTGAGAAGGTCAGTTTTGCAAGTGTCGAGTTTACTGTGATAGTTGGAGGTTACTATAGGCGTGGCGGTACTTTCTGGAGTAGAATTTAGGGCCCTGAGACCAGAGCTGAGGGAGTCCCTGAGATCAGGTAGGTGGATATCTGATTGGCTGCAGAGTTGCTCCCGGAGGCAGGGAAAGGTAAGGGGGAGAAATGGAGGACTCTGGACACCAGTCAGCCCAGCGAGTCCCTGGAGGTAGTTGAAGACTCTGAGGAGAAGACAGGAGAGGAAGATCGTCATTCTCCCTAGTTCAGGTCCATCCCAAGCAGGAGCCGGGACCAGTAGACAAGTGGCACATGTCCCCTGCGCTCTCCTATTGCCATAGTAATCCTCACTTACTGGGAAGGCTTAAAAGGTTTTTGACTGAAAAAAAATAAACCTACGAAAACATGTAGAGTCCTCAGACAAGGAAGTTGGGCTTGTTAGTTACTTTGTGATTTTGTTTTTGTTTTTTTACCTCCCTTATTTACCATTTCTTAAATCACTCACTCACGATCATATGGTGTCATTTCATATCAACTAACATTTATCCACGGCCATCTGCTCCAACGTGGGCTGTGTGTTCATCCGTTTGAGCTCTGCGTTTCAGTGACAGACTGCTGGCCTTGCCGTGTGGATGTACCAGCTGGGCCTGCCATCGAAACCAGTTCAGAAGTCACAGAAGACAGCAGAAGTCACTCTGCTCGCTTGTGCACGGCTCCCTGCACGCCCCAGGGCACGACTCACGGTGCTTCTGGGAGCACAGCCATCGTGGGTTGGCATTCGCAGAGGCTCTACTGACTGCTCAGGAGAGAAGACTACCTTGGCAACTCAAAGGGGACATACTCAGGGACCTTTAGGGTTCCTCAGCCTGTAAGTAAGAAAGGAGCAGTGAAAAAAAAAAAAGAAAGGAGCAGTGATTTTCAACTGGGGCCAGTTTTGT